CAGGCCTTACCCTACCAAGACTAGCTAAAACCCCAGTCTTACCACACGCCAGCCCCTGTTCTAAGCACTTTACAAACAATAGCTCATTGAATCCCCTGGAGTCTTAGGAGTTTATATTATTTTCCTCATGTTATAGATGATGAAACTGAAGCACAGAGAGGTTAAGTAACTTGCCTAAGATCATACAGCTACTCAGAGGCAATGCTAACCGTTTATGTGGATAATCATCACGGCTGTCATAATTATCCGGTTGGTATGAGTAGTGTCCTCACCTGGTAGATGAGCCAAACAAGGCAGGTTTCATGCATTGACCGAGGTCACACTGGGAAGTGTGGGAGTTGTGAAAGGAGTGTAGGTCTGTCTGGCTCCTGAGTGGGGCCCTGACCCATGATGTCCTGTGTCCTCCCAAGTTTCCCTTCATGTCGGGGCTGAGAGGTGGGCCGGGCTGGGATGGTGGGCCTCCTTTTACAGACGGAGGAACCGAAGCAGAGAGTGTTTGAACATCTTGCTCACGTCGGGGAAAGGGCAGAGCAGGGCCGGGACTTGAACCGGGACTTTTCATCCCCAGGCGGGTGCTTTTCCTCTGCAGCCCTGCCTCCTGGGCTTCGAACTCTTCCTTCCCAGCACCCAACAGGCCTGGCCTCTCAACTTCTTCTCGAACTCTTTCTTCCCAGCACTCAACAGGCCTGGCCTCCCAGCCTCTCCTCACACCCTGCTAGCTCAGTCTTCTCACCACTGCATTTGTGTGTCATTTACGTAGAACCCCCAGCGATGAACATCTCGTCCATGGGAAGCCCCCACTCTCTCTCAGCCCTCCCCAGGTGTCTGCCATGGCTGTGAGAGGGACCCTTTATTTCCTTTATAGGGAAAAAAGAGGTGGGGGTGAGGGAGAAAGGCTCCCCCTCCCAGGGTCGGTAGTGCCATAAGAGATACCACATTTAAGGGCAGCCCCTAAGGTAGGTGGGAGAGGGCGGGGCTCCCAAGCCCCCTTACTCCTGCCGTGAGTGCATACTGTGGAATAAATCCTGGTAGACCCTACATTTGCTGTGGGGTGGGGTGCAAGCGCACAAAGGGAAAGAGGTCCAGCCATCAGGGCTGGGACCGCAGGCCTTGTCCACCTCTCTCCTCCGCTCTCCAGGGAGGGGGTGGGTGCTATGCCTAGCCTCAGGATTCGCCACCTGTGTTTGGGAGACTCAGAGGGGTGGCCCCAGCTCCAGCCAGGCCTCATCTCCCCCTAGGCTTCCTGTCCTCACCAAAGACCATCTTGGTTTCAGCAAGGGGTTAGTTCCAAGCCTTGGAGCTGATATCAAAGGGCTCAGGGATTCCCCTCGCCAGCCCAAGCTGAAAATGGAGGACTTGAGTTCCAGTCTTCATGTTGTCACTGATCCACTATATGACCTTGAGCAAGATTTCCCCTCCCTGATTCCATCCTGATGTCACATCTGAAGCTTCTAACTTCTGCTTCCTGAGCTCAGGATCCCCATGCAACCCCATGGAGTGCCCCACAGGGTCAGAGCTGTAACAGGGCTTGGAAAATAATCAGAAGGCTGGTGGATGGTTCTTTTCTCTTTTTTTTAAATCATCTAGGTTTTTTTTTCCCCCTTAAAGATTAGCACCTGAGTAACAACTGTTGCCAATCTTTCCTTTTTTTTCTTCTTCTTCTCCCCAAAGCCCCCCGGTACATAGTCGTATATTCTAGTTGGGAGTGCCTCTGGTTGTGCTATGTGGGACACCGCCTCAGCGTGGCCTGACGAGCGGTGCCATGTCCGCGCCCAGGATCCGAACCCACGAAACCCTGGGCCGCCGAAGGGGAGTGCACGAACTTAACCACTTGGCCACGGGGCCAGCCCCTAAATCATCTAGGTTTTAATTTCTCTACGTAATAATAGTGGCAACATTTGAAAATTGCTATCGCTTTTCAATGAGGACACTGAGGTCCAGAGTAGGCTAGTGACACACCTGATGTCACCATAAGGATTAACTATACACTGGAATCTACAACCCGGGGTTCTCGGCTTTCTTTCCAGCAGTTCTCACCCCTCACCACATCATTTCCGTTTCTTGCCAGCCTTAGCCCAAGCCTCAGCCCACAAGCCAAGATCTACTTGTGGAAACTGAGGGCTAAGTAGGCAGATAGTCCTAAGCCCATCCTCTAAGGATACGGACAGAGGCTGGTGCTGCCCTTACTGGCCCTCTTGCTTCTTGCCAGGGATCTGCTAAGATCATCAGCCCAGGGCCATGCTCAGCATCCCAGGTGCCCCCTTCACCTCCCTCAGCCCTTGGCTGGGGCCTTGGCCTGAGTAGGAGAAGGCTGACGGTGAGACCTCAGGGCTCAGGCTGGTCCCAGACCTGCTGCTCCATCCAGACAACTTACAGATCACTAGCCATGAACAGAATGTGGATTAGCAGGAGTGTGGCAGAAGACAGATTTGTTTGACGATTTATTAAGAACCTGCTATTGTTAGCTACTGGGATACTGTCAGTACACAAAACAGGCAAAAATTCTCACCCTTGTGGAACCCACATTCTACTGCATAGAGACAGACAAAAACGATAAATAAGAAAATGTTAGGGCCCAGCCCCCTGGCCAAGCAGTTAGGTTCACGCGCTCCACTTTGGCGGCCTAGGGTTTCACTGGTTTGGATTGCGGGCGCGGACATGGCACCGCTCATCAGGCAATGCTGAGGTGGCATCCCACGTGCCACAACCAGAAGGACCTACAGCTAAAATACACAACTATGTACTGGGGGGCTTTGGGAAGAAGAAGAAAAAAAAATTGGCAACAGTTGCTAGCTTAGGTGTCAATCTTTAATAAAAAAAAAAGGAAATGTTAGAATGTTAGATATCTAACATGCTGTGTAGACAAGGCAGGGAAGGGGATACAGAATGCCAGGGGCAGGGTTGCATTTTTTTAGTAGGGCAGTCAGTGAAGACTCCATTTCAGACAGTGACATTTGAGCAGAGATCGTAGGAGAGAGTGAGCTTTGCAAATATCTGGAAGAAGAGTGTCCCAAGAGGAAGGAACAGTAAGTGCAAAGGCCCTGAGGCAGGAGCAAGCCCGGCACGTTCTAGGAGCAATGAAGAGGCCAGTATGGCTGAAGTGGTATGAGCCAGGACAGAGCGAGAAAGATAAACAAACATGAAATGTCCATTGGAGATGAGATTTACAGCAGGAAGGGACGAGCCATTCAGGGCAGAGAGCCCATGACACAAGGGGTCTGGGTTCCGAGAAGGTTCAGGGGAAGGAACTCCAGAGAAGGCTCTGAGGGCATTCTAGGCATAGAGAACAGCCTGTCCAAAGGAAAGGACATATGAAGTGGCTCATCATGTTCAAGCATGAAGCTCCAGTTGCTGGAGCTGAAATAGGGTGGGAGTGAGGGGTGAGGCTGGAGGAGTCAGCTGCAGCCAAACTGAGAAGGGCAAAGAAGCAGCAAGGGACAGGAGGTCTCAGGGAACCCCAAGAGTAGGTTGGGAGGGCCAGGAGGTTGTGGTCACGGATTGGGAGATGGAGTACAACGCTTGAGAGATACAGCAGTTCTGTGTGATGGCCAAGGGTCAGGGAGTGGCTGTGGTCAGCAGGTGAGTGGAGTAGCCGGCCTCCAGGATGACAGCATCCTGGGGATGTGAGGAAGACCAGCCAGGGCCTCTGTCTGTCCTCACCATCAATCTCGGGATGTATGGGACCCCCCTCTTGGGAAGCCCTAGTGGCATGGGATGTGGTGGAATGAGCTGCCACCACTGGGGGGCACTGCAAGGGAAAGGAGCCCAGGCTAGGCAACCACGCCTCCTTTTCCTTCTCCTCCAGCAGCCCTCTGGGATTGCTCCCCAAAGGTACTGGTACTTCCGTGGAAGTTGGTCCCAGGCAGCCTTGGTAAGCAGTGCCCAGGCAGGGCTCAGGAGGAAGAGTGTAGGAAGGGGAAGCCCCCTTGGTTTCTGTCTCACAGCAGGGACCTAGCAGGGAAAGCCCACAGGTCCCAAAAGGAAAGTGGCAGCAGTAGTCCTCGGGGAAGACCAAGAAACCCCCATCTTCTCCCTGAAGATGGGAAATCCAGAGTGGGGCTAAGGGCAGGGCCGTGCTGGAAGGGGGGTCTGTGGTTGCTGCAGCACAGCCCTGACATCTGCCTACAGAGCAGAAACACCAGGATTATTCTGAGTCTCGATCCTGACCTCATACAATTCCAACCTGGCCACAGGCTGAGTCCTGACCCTGATTGTTGACTGAGCTCTTATCCCAGCCTAAGCCTGAGCCCTGACCTGAATCACAGGCTCAGTCAGAACCTCGGCCGCAGACCGAGCTCTGTGCCGGATTTGGACTAATCTCTAAGTGCAACCCTGACTGGTCCCAAGCAGAGCCCCCAGGTCATTGATAGCTCTGATCCCAAACACATGCAGAGCTGGGACGTTGGTCCTGCATGAAGCTCTAAGTCCAGCCTTAGACCAAGTCCTGATCCTGGTTATAGACTGAATGCTAATCCTGGATCTGACTATCCAAAGACTGAGCTCTTGGCCTTCAACAAACCTGTTCTCTTCCAGCCCTGACCCTGGTATAGATTGAGCCCTGACTCTGTGCAGATTGAGACCCCACGGCCCCACACAAAGCCCCATCCCAGCCACCACTGAGCCCCGATTCCCCTGGCACTCCCTTCTTCAGCCACCTGGTAAACCAGAAGATAGCAAGGATGACTCAAAACCCAAGTGCCCTCTGATGGGCAGCCCCTTACCTGGCCATCCATCTTTTGAAGGACAGAAGGCTGGTGACGGCTCTAGGATGATAATGACAGAGCAGAGAAACAGGAGGGGGTTTGAGTCTCTGGGACCTACCAGCAAATAGAGTGGGTGGCTCACCTAAGAGCGGGGAAGTGAAGGGAGGCTGGACCCGGGAGCTCAGCAGGGGGTCAGGAGCTGGGATTGACCGAAACTCCAGCTTCCCGCCAACCCCACCGCACCTCCCACCCACTCTGGGAAGGGAAATTACATTTCCCCATTTCAGCAAGGGGTGGTGAGGAGGGAAGACTGAGTGAATGCAAAGCTGAAAGTACAAGCAGGACGGAAAGTGAAACCGGGCACAGCCCCCAGTATAAGACTCCCCCTACCCGGGAGATGGCTGGCCAAAGAGGCTGGGCCCCGCCATGGGCCAGACGGCAGGCGACCTTGGCTGGCGTGAGTTTGAGGCCAGGGCTGGGGCCAGAGGGGTGGGAGGCTTGGTTGAGACTGGGCAGAGGATGGGAGAGCTTGACCGTGTGGATGGAGCCAAGGGCTGAGGGGCAACAACTTGGCCAAGACTATACAGGATACAGCTGATTGGAGGATGGGAACGAAGTTGGCACGAATGGGGAAGAGGGGTTAGGGGAGAGGGGTGGTGGTTTGGCGAGGGCGGGGTAGAGGATAGGACAGTTTGGCTGGCATGAATGGGGGAGAGAGGTGGAGGCGTGGTGGTTTGGTGAGGGCTGGGAAGAGGTATGAATGGGGAGAGTTGGGCAGGTGGTTTGACCAGGACCGGGACTAGGTGGATAAATGAAGAGTTTGGCTGGAGTGAATGAGCAGGCTCCAGACAGCCTGGCTGAGAACTAGAGCTGGCTAGAGGAAGAACAGCAGGAGGGGTTGGCACGAGTGGGAGGCTGGGGGCACAGAGTCAGCAGCCTATCTGGGTCAAGCGTTATAGTTTGAAGCTTGGAAGGAGGTTCAATCTGTAGTTGGTGACTGAAAGACTCAGAGGCTAGAACCAGGGCTATAGGCAGAGGAGCAGATGGTAGGGCCAGAGTAGGGACCAAGGGCTGGAGGATGAGCACAGAACCCTGAAAGGTGGGGGCCAAGGGCCCAGGATTGCTGCAGAGGGTGAGGAGAAGCCAAGGGAAGTGTCTGGGAGCTCCAGAACTCCGGCAGGAAGTGGAGGGTCTGTAGGAAATGGCACAGCTCAATTCTGGGTGGACGATATCCACCAGGGCCTTGGGGCACCTATTCTCCCTCAACATAGAGCTAGGAAGAACCCCACTCTGCCTTAAGTCTCTAGAATGCCAGAGTGGCCCCCAAGCCAGGGAGCCTGAACGCTAGACATGGCAGGCACTGCCCGCCACCTCTGGAAGTCCATGGGGGAAGTGGAAGGACCCACTTAGTCTTCACTGAGAGGACATTTCAAGGGGCAGAGCCCAGGGGTTGGAGGTCAAGAATGGATAGGGAAGAGGCATGGAGAGGAGGGCGTGCAGGAGCGGACGTAGACCTAGGGGCCAGTTTTGGTTTGCGTTTTGAGGAGAATTGTGTAACGACAGTGATTGCTAGATTTCCTCTCCCTGAGGGAGAAACTGCTGAACACCGCCCTCTTCCCAGAGCACCCGCCCCACTGCCCCTCTTCCTTCTGTCCGGGAAGCACAGGGCAGGAAGCTTTCCAGAAATCAGCTGGTCTGACTCTCCCATTTTACAAACGGGAGCCTGAGGCACAGAGATAATAAGCGACTTATCAAGGGAAGAATCTAGATGAGAAAGAGAGGTTCTGCCTCCCATTCCAGGCCCTCCTCCCCCTCTTTGTACCCCCTGCTCCTCCCACAGTGCAGAGTGACTCACCTCCCTTGGTGGAGGCTGGACCAATCTGTCCTTCTAACTCCCTGGGATAGAGCCTCCAGCATTGCCAGCCCACACCTAGGGCCCTAGGTCAGGCCATCAGAGCTGCCTGGCTAAGCCCAAGGAATCCTTGGCAGAACAGGATGTGCTCACTCCAGGGGAGGTGGCTGTCTCCTCTGAGTTCCTTGGGGGAAGCACACAGGTTCTGCATTTGGGCGGATCTGCAATCCAATCCCGGTTCCCTCACTCTCTGGCTGTGACCTCAAGCAAGTCAACCTCACTGAGTCTCACTTTCCTCATCTGCAAAATGGGGAGAATAACAGCACTCAGGCTGCCACACACAGTTATGCAGTTTGTTCACTAAAAAAGACGCTTGGCCAAGGGAGTTAGTGGGGGTCAAAATCCAGCCTGAGGTCTGCTTGCAAGGGTGGGTACTCTGTGCAGGGTTGTGTCTACCTGGGGGAAGGGGCACTTTCCTTTCATTCATACAGAGATGCCATATGGTGTCCTCAATAGCTTCCATCTCATTAGTGGTTTTAAAGGGTCTGTGAGAAGATGCACCGTGCTTGCCCAGAGGGCAGGCTCAGAAAAGGCACGTTCCTTTCCTTCTCCCAAGTTCTTCTTAAACCCTCCCTTCATCTTGCCCACCCTCTCCCCATCTCTCCAGGGCTCAGTCTTTTGCTGCTCTCCTTGCTCCTGGCTCGAGCTGGTGTATGGGGATTCCCAAGACCCCCAGGGAGGTCCCCCCTGAGCCTGCAGGAGTTGCAGAGGGAGTTCAAGGTCAGCCTGCACCTCGCCAGGAAGCTGCTCTCCGAGGTTCGGGCCCAGGCCCATCGCTTTGTGAGTCTCCCTAATGCAACTGGCTCTGGGGATGGGCAGATCCTCAACGCCCTCTGGCCCCACTAACAGACTTTGCCCCACAGGCTGAATCTCATCTGCCAGGAGTGAGCCTGGACCTCCTGCCTCTGGGAGACCAGCTCCCCAACGTTTCTATGACCTTCCAGGCCTGGCGTAGCCTCTCCGTGAGTTGGGGCAGGGCTCGTGGGGTGGGGCAGATGAGCTGGCAATTAGGCTCAGCTGGGTGAATGGAGATGAAATTGGGGATTGAATTGAAGATGGATGTGGGCATGAATTGAGGGATAGAATCTGGATGAGGTTGAGCATGTCGTTGGATACAAAGATGAAGCCGGAACAAAGAAATGCAGTTAAGAAGAAGGTAAGAGTGAAGCTGGGCATGGAAAGAGGTGGGGACAGGAATAGAATGGGATTGGGGAGAGAGATTATTATGGAGGAGGGATGGAGTTGGTGTAGAGATGTGAATGGGGATAGGTTAGGGTTGGGAAGAAACCTGGGGATGAGAGTGAAAATGAAGTGGAGGATGGAGAAAGGACAGGGATTGCTAGTGAGGATGCGAGTAGAATGAGGTTGGGATAGAGTTGGAGATGGGATGAAGAGAGAGTGAAAATGAGCCTGGACATATGGAGGAGGGATGGAATTGGGATTAGGAATAAGGAGAGGAAAAGAGTTTGGAGACAGGATGAAAACAAGTGAGGAGATGGAGATGGGATGGTAGAGAAGGGAACAGAATGGGGTTGTGGATAGAGAGTGATAGGACAATGGAGATGGGGTTAGAGTCAGAGCTAAGTTTGGGCATCGGACTGAAAATGAGTTTGGTAAAGGAGATAAGACAGAGGTCAAAGATGGTGGAGATGGGAATGGTGGTGAGCATAGGAAGGGAGCGGAGATGGAGACGGGGTTGAGGATGAAAATAGATACGGAGATGGAATGGAGATTGGATTTGGGGATGTGAATGGGACCCAAAGAGAGATGGAGTTGGGTTTGAAGTGGGTCATCCTTGGCCTGTGAACCATTCCTGACTCCCTCCCTCTCCTTCCACAGGACCCAGAACGACTCTGTTTCCTCTCCATGACACTTCGGCCATTCCATGCCCTTTTGGGAGGGCTGGGGAGCCAGGGGGGCTGGACCAGCTCAGAGAGGATGCAGCTGTGGGCCATGAGGTTGGATCTCCGGGATTTGCAGCGGCATCTCCACTTCCAGGTAGAGTGCCCACCCACCCTCCTCAACCCCAGAGACCAACACATGAAATTGAGGCTCATTGCTAACATCCCCTGGCCACAGGTGGGATAAGTCGGGAGGAAGATACTCCAGATCCTCTGAGTATGTGTGTGTGTGTAGCTGCACCGTGCCCTGGCTCTGACCCCTCAACCTCTGCCTTCTTTCAGGGTCTTAGCCTTAAATGAGAGAATAGCTCTGAAGCACCCGAGACAGCATGTGGCCTCAGCAGGCCCTACAGCAAAGTTGCTTCCCTTCCCCCTCATTCTCTGACATCACCAGATCCTCCTGAACATTTCAAAGGAAAATAGAAATTTTACCGTTAATAAAAGGAGAATAGAAAATGCAAGCAGCATAAAAACTAACTATATCACCTTTATGCTCATTTCTGATCCTAGGACGACCCTTAAGAGAGGAAATTCCGGAGCCCAATGCCCAGGGCAATCTTGGATGAGTGAGCTATTGCTCTGTGAGCATCATTTTGCTCTATGACTTTCATTTCCTTGAACGAAAAACTCAGGCAAGACACATAAGGTGATGACAGAAAGGAAGATCTAAAGTAGGGGTTGTCAGGGGAAATCACGATCTTGTGGTGTCTGATGTCATTCTGTACCACCCGGCACACAAAGGAATGACGATTCACTCAGGGTCTCAGCCTGGCCATTCTCTGACCTGTGGGCTTCTCCTCACAGGTGCTGGCTGCAGGATTCAACCTCCCTGAGGAAGAGGAGAATGAGAAGGGGAAGGAGCTGCTCACAGGAGCTCCAGGCAGCCCCTCACAGACGTCAGTCCAGGTGTCCTGGCCCCAGCTCCTCTACACCTACCAGTTGCTGCACTCCTTGGAGCTTGTCTTGTCTCGGGCCGTGCGGGACTTGCTGCTGCTCTCCCAGGCTGGGAACCCAGCCCAGGCCTTGGGGTGCCCCACACCCAGCTCCCAGCCCTGATGGAGTGAAGCCATCCATCCCCCTTCACTCTTTAGGACTTTAGGACTGGAGTCCGGGCCAACAGGACAGCCTCCAGCTCATTTGCCTTAGACAAGGCAGGACTCCACCGGCCTCCCATCCCAGACCCTACCCAATAATTTAAGGCCCCTCCAGTCCTTGCCAGATATTTATTTCTTGGATATTTATTTATTGTTTAGGGAAATGATGGTTTATTTATTGTTTCAGAGCTTGCTAGTCATCCTTGGGTAGGCTGCCATGCAGGGTGCCTAATAAAGCACTGTCACCCTCTCTCTGCCTCGGCTTCTTTTCAGAGAAGGGGTGGCCTGACACCCAAAGGGGGCCTGGAATGGAGTCTGCAGCCTCGGGACCTCAGACCCCTCTCTGCTCCTAAATTTTGCAGATTCCTGGCCCACTTTCCTCAACTCTGGCTTGCTCAGCTGGTGGTTGCCACAGTAACTAGCAGAGCTCTGAAGCCGAGCTCCCATTTTGGAAGCTCAAGGTGGCTGGTCTGCTTCCCAGCAAAGTGATGGCAAATGGAGCTCTGTAGGCCCTCCTGACCCATTTCCTCTGGGCTGGCTTCAAGCCCCGAGGTTTGTGTTACTCCTACACAGCTCTCTGAGGCCTCGGGGAGCAGGCTTGGAGGTGGGCGGGCGCGGGGGCAGTCAGAGAGGGAAGGCTACGGGGTGGACTGTCTCAGTCACCTCAGTCCTCCAGATAGGCGAGACAGGTTGGGGAGGTAGTCAGGACGGGCCATGAGACGGGGTCCCGGTGGGGCAGGTGGTCCGTCAGCTGCCCTGGAGACTCAGACTCTTTAAGTTCATAGTTCTCACAGACATCTGGTTCTGTCTGCTCCGTGAATGACACACCAAGAAACTAAGGCCTAGAGAGTGGAAGAGGTGCATCTAAAGTGGCAGGGGGGGCCAGCCTGGTGGTATAGTGAAGTTCACGTGCTCAGCTTCGGCAGCCCAGGATTCGTAGGTTTGGATCCCAGGCATAGACCTCCACACCACTCATCGAGCCAGGCTGTGGCGGCATCCCACATACAAAATAGAGGAAGACTGGCACAGATGTTAGCTTAGGGACAATCTTCCTCACCAAAAAAAGCAAAAAACAAACCAAAGTGGCAGAGGGAGTCAGGCTGAGCAGGGTTCAGCTGAGCCTTCTGACCCTCACTCAGGACCTGGCTCCCAGGGTCTCGGGTCCCATTCACTGGGGCTTTGGCTGGCCCATTCTGGCTTGCAGTTCCTGCATCATGCCGAAGTGTGCAAGGCCAAACCTGTAGATGGAAGACAGGCCATGGGAGCTGGTCTCCGGGTGTCCGCAGCCTCCTTCCCAGCCCTGCTGTCACCTCACCCTGTGCTTACCCGTGTCCCAGGGGCCTTCTCCTGGTCGGCACTGGGGTCCCTTCAGGCCTTGGGGGGCTGGGCTCTGGAGGTTCCTCTGGCTGGAGAAGTCTCTGCTCAGGGGCTGACAGCTCTTCTTTGAGTGGTGGGCTAGGAGGCTCCTCCTGCTGCTCAGGGGCAAGAGTCCGTCGGAAAGAGGGCCGGCAGCGACGCTGTGAGGAGCTACGAGAGAGGAGTACACGGCTCCTCGGGACAGAGACATCCAGGAGCGACCCGGGGAGCAGGGCCTATAGGGAAGAGGGCACAGAGTACTAAGGGGCCAGCTTCGAGATTCTGCTCTATCTGGCCGTGGACCCCACCTGGAGCCCTCACCTCATTCCAGCTGCCATGGGCATCCCCTCCAGTACTTTCTGCAGACTTGGCAGGTGGCCCAGGCTCAGCCTCTGTGTGGTCCTGGTTTGTTGACTGGCCCTCCTGGCCCTGGACATCCACCAGGTTTTCTGGATCAATCTCCTCGGCCTCTGCCCTCTGGTCTCCAGTCACCTCAGCATCCTCCACAGCAAGGAGCCTTCGTGCCTCTGCCTCAGGGTGGTGGTCCCCACACTGCCCTTCTCTGCCTTGCCCCTGCTCCCTTACTTGCCACCCCCCAGCCTCTTTTTCCAACAGGGTCTGCCCTCCTGGGAGCCCCTTGGCCTCCACTATGGCCATGGTCCCCTCTGCTCCTGCTGCCTGGGAGCCTGAGGTAAAGCCATCCATCCCACAGCTTCCTTCTGCCATGGTAGGTTCCCCAACCTCTGCCTGACCTCCCCAGGGCTCACCCTCCCTGGCCTCAAAATCCTCTGCTTGGCCACTTCTGCCGGTCACCTCCTCCTCTGCTGAGCCCTCCAGGCCAGACTCCCGCTCACCTCTGTTCTCTCCCTCTGCAGCCTCCACCAGCTCCACACCTCCCCCACCTTCTCCCCCTTCTGAACCCCAGCCTCTCCCAAATGTTTCCCCAGTCTCTCTTTTGGGCCCTTCCCCAGCCCTGGCAGTCCTTCCACAAGGAGCTGCCTTATCATTCACAACCTCAGCAGCCAAAGAACTGTCCCACGTGTCCTCGCTGTCCTGGAGGCTCAGAGCTGCCTCCTCCAGCCTCCAGCCTGTCTCGGATGTTTGGTTGGCCCCCGAGGGCACTGCAGCCTCCAGCTCCTCATCCTTGGTTTCTCTGGCATCTGACTCTCCCAGTGGCTGGCCTCTCCCTGCTTCTGTCCCATGCCTTCCACCCGGTTCCTGGCTCTCTGCTCCAGCGGCCTCTCCCTCCTCTGCTCCACACTCTGCTTCTGGTAGTGTAGACTCTTGGCCTCCTTCAGCCTCAGCCTTCAGTGCCTGGCCTTCTGCAGCCTCCACCTCTACCTCTTCAGCATCTGCTTTTTCCTCCTGAGAGTGTCCTCTCTCCACATCCCTCCTCCTCCTCTGGTTTTCCCAGACTTCTGCCTTAGAGGTATCAGGCTTCACATACCCCATGTCACTAGGATATTCCTCCAGGCTCCCTTCTGTCTCCTCTTTGCTCAGGGCTGGAATGCTCCAGAGCTCTTCCTTACACGCCTGTCCTTCCTCAGGTTGCTCTGTTGGGGTCTTGGGACCTCCTGTCAGCTCAGGCTCCTGGCCTTCACTGATTACGTGCTCAAGGCCACCCCACTCCACTCCTGATGCTTCTCGATCCATCTGAGCCTCCTCCTCACTCCTCTCCCCCATGAACTCCTTCTCAGGCCTGGCCTCTGGGGTTGCCTCCAAGTCAGTATCACCTTCAGCCTCATTTGCAGCTTTGTCCTGGGGAAGCTCAGCCTCTGCGGCCTGGCAACTCTGTCTCTCTTCCTTGGCCTCCTCTGCCTGCACCATCTCCTTCAGACTGGCTTGAGCAGCCCTGATCTCTGAGTCTTGCCTTCCCTCAGCCTCTTTCCCACCCTGATCTGCCTGGATCTCAAAGCCCTCCCCAACTTCCCCCTCTGACTCCTGGTCTTCTGCAGCCTCTCTTCCCGCTGTCTGGTCCTTAGCCACTTCTTTCACTCCCTCAGTTTCCAGGGCTTGGGTCTGTTTGGGGAACAGGCTCACCTCATCCTCTCTATTCTCATCTCCCTCCTCCTGGTCTCCCTCGTAAGCCTCCTCTAGGGCCCAGACTCTCCCAGTACCCTCTGGGATCCTTTTTCCTAGGACTGCCCCATATTCTCCCTCTCCAGCTCCTAGGAAGTCAGCCTCCTCCCTGCCTGAGGCTGCCCCATCCTCAGATTCTTCCCCTGTTTCCTGTGTCCCCTGCGCCCTTGTAGTTTGGCCATCCCCCACCACTACCACCACCTCATCTTCCCTCCCAGCCCCTTTAGCCCCAGGACCCTGGATCTCCTCTGCACCTGCCTCCTTGAGTACCTGCTCTGTCTCCCTGGCATCCCCTGCCACCTTTTGCCTATCAGCACCGGCCTTCTCCTCACACTCCCTGTGCCAGGTCCACTCTGACTCCGCCCCTCCAGCCACCCCTGGCTCTCTTGCCCTGACCTCTTCCTCCTCCTCCTCCTGTTCCCAGGTTCTCAGTGTCTCCCTTTTGTTCACTTCCTGCTCTTCAGGTTCGTGGCTCTCCTGGGCTTGGCTACTCCTGTCTTGACCAGCCTCAGACCCTGTCTTGGACTTTTTCCTGGCCTCCAAGGGAGCACTTGGCTCCTGGCACCTGGTGGCCTTGGCTGCCTCCCAGGCTCCAGCGTGCTGCCTATCTGCTTGAGACCCATGGGAGCTGCCTTCTCCCCAACCCCAGGTCTGTTCTGTAGTTGAGCTTCCCTCCTGGTCTCTTCCAGCCTCTCCTGGCCTTCTCACCCCTCCATCCCCCTTGCTTTGGCTGCTGCCAAGGTCCCCCAGGGCCTCCTGGGCTTCCTCTTCCACAGGCCTCCCCCGCCTGTCTGCAGCCACCTCCCCCAGTTCCTCAGCTGCCCCCGCCTCCCTCTTCTCCACAGTGGGGACCTCATCTCCCATAAGGTAGGAGACAAAGGCACTGAAGGAATCCTAGAAGAAAAGGGGGAGGGGGCAAAGGCATTAAGGGGAGGCCCAGCCCTCTCTCTGGGGGCCCTGTACCAGAGAAGCTCAGGATAAGGAAGAGGGCTTCTGGGATCTGGAAAGAGAAGGAGAGCAGGATCTGCAGAAGAAATAGGAAAGGGCCTAGATTAGGGGTATGTGGATGTGTTTGTGGAAGTGAGGGGACTGAAATACAGAAAAGAATGGGCTAGGAGGCTACCTGATGCTGGGGAAGGAATCTCGAGTCTGAGGAGAAGCTCAAAGGGAGGAGGGAAGGAGAGGCCCCAGGGAACAGGGTGAAAGTCTCTGGCATCCCTTTGCCCTTCTCACCAGTGCCCCCCTCAAGGCCTGATGCAGCCCAGGGAGATGTAGCCGGAGGAAATCCATTCTTTCTGTTCTGTCTATGTGTCCAGAAGGCTGATAATGACTGTCCCCACCCACCAAGACAAGCCAGTCTTCCCCAGGACCTAAGACACTTCCTCTTCCCCTGCCTCTCCCTGACACATCCCCACCCAGGCCCTGCCCACCCTTTGCAATGCCCTCAGCAGCTTCCAGACTAGGCTGGGAAAAGGGTGTGTATCACCCAGGGAACTCAGGTGCACCTTTAGAGCTAAAGGGCAAAGGAGGAGGCCAGGAAGAAGAAAGTGGGAGCAGGAGAGCTCAGAATGGGGGAGAGAGAGAGGGTGCATTGCATGTGGCAATTGCAGCTCAGCTGACTCAGGTCTTGTATTCACACCTCAGCCATTTCCGTCTCCCCCCAAGCCGCAGCCACTCTGTGAGAGGAAGCTGGGGTTTGTGGTTCCTGTTTTGCCTGCGGACAAGGAGTAGGAGTGAGGAGGGGGCTGGTGAGAGCCCTGGCTTCTCATTTCAGCATCATTAGTGCTTCCCCGAGAGGAAGAAGGGACTGGATTG